TATATATATCCATGTCAGCGTAAACTACTTGTACCTGATGATGACAAAATCTTGTCGAAACGTTGTACATTTGCTGTTATGTCTCAAACTTATATTAAAGTTTTTCTTCATTACCCATTCAAGCCATCTCCAAGCATTATTAGTCTCAGTGGGTTCCTCATCATCAAATTTGATTAATGTAGTGCAAATTACTCTGCTGTCATAATCAAACTTAATTAGAGAACAATATAAGAAGAATATAAAATTTCTTATGAACAGTTCATAAGTTTAAAATCGTAAAACCTTAAAGTATTGACAGTAACATTGTTTTGTTTGTGTTTTATGCTTGATTTTTGTTAACTTACAATGATTATACTCTAGAAATACATGTCACAAATATTTGTATTTTATGAAATTCTAATGACGTCAGTTCATAGATTGTATCTCATTTTTTATTTTACAGGAGACATAGGACAGCTAAATGATTGTTTTGTTAGCTACGCCTATGTTATTATTGTAGATATGTTTTTATTAATACACAGACACGCACTACATGTTCTAAACTACCCATTACTGTGTTATACTTCAAGCTTTTGATAACTGTAATACTTACTTTTAGTATTAGCACAAAGTGTAATTAAATGAAATAAATATTTTCAAACCATTTAAAACCATTTTCTTTGCGACTTTTAATTTGAAAGATGCCCATACTTCTCTTTTATATATATTTTGTTTTTTTCAGGCATTAGAATGGATTCGTGAAACTGGAGAGAGCTACCTCACTACCCATATCACACTTGGGGAAACTAACGAGAAAACAGAAGCCTTACTGAAGGAGCATAATGAGTTTAAAGGAAATGCTAAGGTATAATGGCTTAAAGAGGTTCTTTATTTTTTAATTAATTACAACAGTAATGATAAAGGTTAAATTATAGCATAAAGGTTTTTTTTAGTGAAACTTGCATGATGTGTTAAAAGGTATACACTGGAGACATTGTTGATTGAAATATGTCATAGGCATTGGTGTACTATAGCACTTATTCTTTGCATAAACATCATAAAATAGGATATATAATAGTTTTTGTTTTCCTTATATTATAGTTGGGAATGAATATTGTTTTATTTGTTACATTTTCTTCAGAAAGACTTGGTACACTGCAGGTGTTTGCATAATCAGACCTTGATGTTATTTCAATCATTAGAAAACCAATATGTTGTAATTAATCATCATACATTTATTTTATTAATTTTCTGAACTATTGTAACTGTTTCTGTAGGAAACGAGAGAGAAGGTGAGGCTTTTACTTCAGCTTGCTGACAGTTTAGTAGAACGTGGTCATGCTCATGCTAATGCTATCAGGGCTTGGGTATCAGCAGTTGACAACAGGTATAAAGACTTCAGTAATCGCATGGACAAGTATCGTGCACAGTTAGAGCAGAAACTGGGTTTACAAAGTGAAGTAAGTTTTTAAAATAATTTTTGGAACAAAAAATTTAGAATCTATATTGATGTAAAAATGAAAATATTTTCCTATGATCATACTTCTGTGCTTGTTTCGTTTGTTGACTCGCATTCAAAATTTTATTGAACTACTATTTCATGAATTTATGTCCATAAGTTTGGTATCAAACTGTAGATTATAATTCAAATTTTAGAACTATACATTACTCAATTTGTTAATTTAAAAGTAAACATTAAAAAAATATATAAACGTGGTATGTTGATTGTAGCAGTGGTTCAGATTAGATGTTTGTGAAGTTAAACTATTAAGTCTATAGTTTAGAACGAATTTGGAACTCAAATTACCAATATTAACAAGCTAGAATATAATATAAGAACCTCCTATCTTTTTTATTTGCTGAGATACCACTCGTACTGAATCAAACAGACAGTGGCCCGCTTGCCTCTTTCCATTTTTAGAAACACTCCCTTATATACACTTACTTCTATCTATGACATGTGAATAAACAATCAAAGGCTCAGAATGTCCCTCTAGTGGCTTTCTCAGCCAATTTCAAGTATTACGACATCATCTTGCTTTGTTCTATACAAATCTTCATGCTTGTAAGGTGAGTCTTTAGTCTACTCGAAATTTCATATTTTTTTAGACTCAAATACAGCTTAATTACTAAGCTTGATAAATTATAGTGGAATTCTATGGTATTGATATAGTCATTTATGATTTTTTGGTCATTTCAAATGTATATATATATAAAACCTAAAAAAATATATTTTGTTTCATATCCTTCACGTGCAAAATTATTAAAGGCTTAGCAACCCTTACGTCAAGCAGCAACCGAGTACAAATGTCGTAACTAGAAGAGGTGATTGTTGGCTTTATTTCTTTATTTACAGTTCTGTTTCAGGAAAAATAACTTTAAGAACTTATTTCAAAATAACAATAATCTATATACATATGTAATGTATAATAATTAAAATGTGACTGTATTTCACAAAATACTAGTTGACTAAAGCACAGCCAAGACAAGTTACTTTGTACAGACCAAAGGTCACCTCTATGTTATTTTATACGGTACAATTATTGCACGTGAGCCACATTGTTGTAATTTCTATATTGTTGCCAGGCACGGGTGAAAGGTCAATATAATAATAATAAATATATATATATAAATGTATAATGTTATGAGATTTAAGCTATTTCATCTAAACATTTATGTTTTCTTGTTATAATTTATGTTCATTCTAGAATGAGAGGCATAATTTATGTTTATTTCCTAATTTTTTATGGTGATTGTGAGATCGGTCAAATCTACCGAACCCGTACAATTTGACTTATTCTTAACTATTGATTTTGATCAGAAACTAAATACTATACTAGTAATATCTAAGGATCATCAATAATATACACATTTCTGAAACTTAAACTTATTTTGAAAATAGTGGCTATTAACTTTATGTTCATTATGTGAAAGATTTGGAGGCAATAATTCTACAATTACAAAAAAAAAATTAGAATGAGGCAGAGCTATTTCTGTTCCAGTCTTTAATGTTTATTGAACAACACAGTAAAGCTATGTAGCATGTTGAAAGTTTCATAATCTACATGGGTCTGGAAGGTAAAATCTGTTAGATAGTATGTTTAATTACTGTAAGACATAATAAAGTATAGTGTTTGAAGACATAATAGCTTCAAGAAGATATGACTAATGATTTTAAGAGTTAAAAAGATGTAATGTAGTTGATGTAAGAGGATTTAATGTTATTTAATGTTAAAGGGAGAAAGTCGAGACCTGTCACTAGACAGACACAGTGATCCATCATTGGAAGCTAAAGTGAAGGAAGCAGCTGCTAAAGAATTTAATGAAGAAAAAAGGAAATCAGCTAGAAGAAAGGAGTAGGTTTAGGTTTTTGAAATGAAGTTTGTAATTTTTGTCAGAGAATTACAATCAAACCTAGGAATAATTTCTCAAAAGTTGCTGAGGATATTAAATTGATTTTTTTAGTATTGAAACTGAACTATCATAATTTTTATTGCCACCTTTTTTTTTCTATTTTTGACATCTAGGTATGAAACATTTTCATTTTCTTATTCAACTGTTTTAGATAAAAGTCATTTTTGTAATTACCAGATTTGTAAAGGTTCTGTTAAATTGGCTGTCCTTTGCTATTTTCACATTGTTTTAGATGGATTGGAATATTAAATTTTCTTATGATATGATTGTGGCTCTTTAATAATTTTTTGTTTAATATGTGCATTAATATAACTTATTCATAAAGATACCCAATTCTTTTTCAATGCTACTTTATTAAGAACACATTAAACAATTTATTATTATTTTTGTCACCAGGTTTATTGTTGTTAGTATAAAATATTGAATTTGTTTTATTTTCAGGTTTATTATGGCTGAACTTCTTCAAACAGAAAGAACATATGTGAAGGACCTAGATATGTGTATTAAGACCTACCTAACAGAGATGAGGAAAAGTGAAAACAATGTTCCTTCGGGGATCTGGGAAAAAGACCATGTGTTGTTTGGAAACATGGAAGAAATATATGAATTTCACAATAGGTTAGTGTATGGAGAAAAAATACAGTTTATAACATGACTTACATATGCTTATGCTGTAGCATTTTTCCTCATTTATGAGCTATGGTGCCATGTTTTTTCTTGAAAGGGGGCTGAAGGCAGCTTGGAGGGGTCACCTGTTTTAACCACTTGTACCACTATGCAGTAGTGTGTTGTCCATCAGTTGGTCAGTAGACACTAAAATGATGTGAGATAAGGGACGCTTAATGTTGCAATATGTACTGCTGTGATGCCAGGAAAATGCGTGCATGCCATGAATCATGAGAAGAATTATGCACTCTGTAGGCTACAACATGACATATGAACTTCTAAACCAAGAAATAAAAATATTTTTACTCTTAATTATGGTTTTATTTACTCTTGAAACAGAACACTTTTGAAAGTACATCTAGTGATACTAGCTACATATTTTGTTCACAGTAATTTCTCAACCATTTGGCAGTGCAATGTTGAAAGGGTAGACTTGTGATTACAGGTTTGTGTCACAGTCCTTTCTGAGCAATGATCTAGAGGTAAAGGATACATTGTTTCAAAGAAGGAAGCCTTTTCTGTATGAAAGTTAAAAAATTTGCTTATCACAGTATTTAAGACAATAATTAGCTTTGAAACCACACTTTAACCTCTGTCAGGAGTAATGCCATCATTTTTAAATTGAAGACTATTGTTACAAAATAAAGCCCTTCAAACCTAAAAGCTGTTATGATGTAGCTGAGCATATGTCACAAGCCTAAAGTCTACAAGTCTACAGTCTTTCATCTGTACCTCAGAATCAGTAGCTGTTTTGATGAGAAGGATGACAAAAGAAACTGGAATAATGATAGTACCATTGCATGATACTTCAATACAACTCCACTGGACTTTTATGCCTTTGGTGGTCTGATTAAATGCCTAGAAGTCCAATGAACATGTGCAGTGGAGGTTATATGATCTAACATTGAACCTACCATCTTTTGCAATGGCTTGTTATAATGAAAACAATGTACCATTAATCCTTTTGCAACAGGTTGGTCAAACTGTGCAAGTCACAATTTTTTACAGAGTTCAAAATTAAATTAAACTACTTTATTATCAATGTATACAAATAAATCAAATTTTAATAAAAGTTTTAAGTTTTCTTAGTTTTATAAGGATATGTTTAAAAAAAATTTTCAGTCTCCCCTAGCATGAGAATTGTGAAATTTGCTCTCTAGGTTTCCCTATTCTATAATTTATTTATCACCCCATTCAAGGGGTCCATAATTTAAAATAAATAACTCATTATAATTTAGATATTACTCAGGCAAAGCGTAATTTTTATAGCCGTCCATCTTATTTGTTTACATAGCTATAAACTAGAAAATCAGACTTACCTACCAAGCCCATCTGTCACATCCTCTCTTTCACAAATTGCCAGTAGTTTTCTCTGATGTTTTATACCATATTATGTATACCTAATAGAAAGCTAGAGCTTTAACCTATCAAATGACGTAACATATTACATTGTTTTCAGTTCAGATCATTGTCTATTTCATCTTTCAGTTTGAAATTTATTCAAATGGGAATCACAGTGACAGGCTTAGCTGAATTTTTTAGGCTCTTATCACATAGTTAGAAAGTCAGAAAAATTATAATAGTTATAGGACATTGTTTGCTTTTTGCATGTTAATATTTTCTATTGTTAAATACAGCATTTTATTGAATGAAAAAGTATATAGTGTAGTAGTAGTAGTAGTAGTACCATTAATATAAAAAGTAGGCTTAAGATTCATTGACATTTGATAGCAAAAAAAAAGAAGACCCAGTGTCAGGGTTTTAAATATGAGTGGTTGGGCTGGGATTCTTCTACATTAGGTGTCTGTGACTTGTTGGCAATAAATTTGAACAATAAATGGACAGCACACAATCCACTTTTTTAAGAATAATATATTGAAAACAAGTCAAACATACGTACAAAAATTCTTTACACTACTGGATATCACAGTTGTGTCTAAAACTCTAAATAATTCTCTTTCTTGTCAAAAGTTTACACAGGCTGAATCACTTTAGATTCCAGTTGACAAAACGAATTATTTTTCTCTACCCTGTTTCTTACTATACAATCTGTGATAAATTCTCCTACATTACTCCATGGGCTACCACAGATGCATTTTGAACTTTAAATAACTTTCTTCTTTTCCTCAAAGTCCACACAGATGGGCTCAATTACTTTACAACACCCTTTGAACACCAGCTAACTTTACGTTTTCCAACTTATTTATGACTGAACTTTACTTAACTTGTGCTCACTTAGTCGGCTATATTTATATGTTGTTCATTGAAGCCTCGAACTTTCTATAAACTATGCAAGTGGTGCCACTTGTTTAAGGTAATGAGAAAAATACCAAAGGTTTGAGTAACTTGGCATCAACAATACTACAACAATTGAACCACCACACTCAATGTACAACTCTTACCGAGTTATGCAACGAAACTTATCATAACTATCACCTTTAAAATAATTACTTTAAATCTCTTGTTATGAAAAGTAAATAACTATTAAATATTAAATCACAAAATACATTAACTAATAACTCTTACACTAAACAGTCTTGTATGTCTAACATCCAAGTAAGTACTGTATTTCTTGTTTTTCATATGTATTATTTATTTATTATTATAAAAGTAACTGAAATGTAAAAATTTGAAACTTGCTAGGTTAAATAAGGTAAGATAATGAAAAATAACAAAATTCTTCACAGGGTATACTTACGAGCAGCTTGTTCGTTACTTAATTCAGTATAGTAAGGTGAGATGCATGTTTGCCGAGTGCAAAACTATGTAGTTACACCACTGGATATGAAAATAACCTTAGTACCTACAATTAACATTATGGATTATTTTATCTCAAGTTTAGTTTAATCATGAAGATGAAGATAGTTGAAAAAAACACAAAAGATGTTTATTTACAAGGTTTGAAAGTTTTGGAATACACTCATTCCATCTTCAATAAAATTTGAAAACCATGTTACAAAGATGATTATTAACTAAAACTATAATATAATCACTAGTTTACTTAGTTATTGAGAAGAATGGTAAACAGAAGGATAAAACAGAGTATCTAACAGAATTGACCGTCCACTACTTAAACCCAGCCAATCATCCATTTGTATACATTCTGAACCCATGGGTCACAATATTTCATTTAACAATTTCTCTGTCATTACTACAGAATCTTCACACCTTGAACTCTGCATTAAAGAAAGTTTACTCATAGCTAAAGACTACCAGACTCTTGATGAATTAGAAAACTCTCTTGATCTAAAATTATTCTACTTACACACTTAAAACTTAACTGTTTTGCAATATATCTATAATTTTTTGTTTTTTGGTTTATTCTTCTGTTTACCACTTTTCTTAATAACTAAATAGACTGTGATTAATGATATTATAGTATTAGTTAAAAATCATCTTTATAACTTGCTTTTCAGATTTTGCTGAAGGTGGAGTGAATGTGGTTGGAAACATTCAAACCTTCTAAGTAAAGTGTTTTATGTTTTGTCAGTTGTCTTCATCTTCATTATTAGACTTCAGTTTCCCCATCATGAATCCATTGTTATTTTAATCATATTTTTACTTGTATTCTAACCAGGTATTATAAAATTCCATTAGGTCTTTGAAATAAAGGGTTTGCTGCAGATATTAACTACAGATTTTCTTCTAGCATTTTTTTGAAAGAGCTTGAAAAATATGAAGCTATGCCAGAAGATGTAGGGCACTGTTTTGTTACATGGGTAAGTAAATTTCTTGTTGATATTATGATCATCAATAATTAAAAATAAAGTACTAAATGCTACTAAACATTCTCTTTCAGTAATACACCAATGTTTTCAAATTTTCAAATCAGTTCAGAGAATAACCTGACATTATTAAACTACTTAAATTTAAAATGTCATTTTTATGATACTTGATTTAATAAACTGTGTACAAAATGAAAAATGTAATTTAAGTTTTCAAGTAAAGTAAAAATAAGTTATTGTAATAATTTTGTTACATCAGTTTGATTAAACCAAAGAAACTATAAAACTTGAAGTAGTGTAAATTTTTTGAAGGAAAAAACATTCTTTCTATGTTTTCCAAATTGCCAACATGTCTATAGATTTTATCATTTGAAACCTTACCTTAACAACAGTCCCCCCCTTAACAAACAAACAAACCTTACCAACACTATAACATTGAGAGAATTTTGACTTTCCAATTTTCCTTTGTATAGTTACTTTACAATGTTGGGTTTTATAACAAAATTTTAAGCTCTTGCAACACAAATTCTTTCAATTTCATAACTATTATTTAGGTAATTTTGAATAATTTCTTATCTCATGGCAGTGTGTACAATTACTGTAAAACTTGATATGTAAGGTACTCAAATTTAGAAGTTTCTGCCTTCTTCAGTAGAACTACATTTCTGGGGAAATTAATGAAACTTTCACTATGACATGTAGATAGATAATAAATTAACAAACATTTTGTATTTATTTTGCAGGCTCAAAAGTTTGAGGTTTATGTGAAGTATTGTAAAAATAAACCAGAGTCCAACTCCTTGCTAGTTCATAATGCAGGCAACTTTTTTGAAGTGAGTTATGTTGCACAAGTTGCAATTAAATTTATATCAATTACATATTTAGTTATTGTATTTAAATGTACATAATTTTATTAAAACAAGTTCAGTGAGACTTAATATAACTGTTTGTAATTATTGACATTTTTGTTTTGACTTTTTAATATGACGTAATGTTTGTTGATGTTGTTGGGACTGAGTTATTTAAATTGTGTTAACTGTGTAAGTGTGAACATTATTATTGTAACAAAATATTATCTGCATACACCTTTTCTGGGACATTTTATGAGACTAATGTATCATTAATTAAAGATGAGCAGCTGTACTTTAAAGTTTAGTAAGACTAAGTAAACTTTGTTTATTATGTAAATGTGTGATGTAAAGAGCTTGAAAATATTCAGGGTAACTATTTCTTTATTCTAATTTTATGTAATTATATTTGTATAGATATCTTTATTGTAGCAGATGTATAATAATGTCTCAAGAAACTATTTTAGTATACAAATTGAAATAATTAAAAATTTCCTATCCTGTTCTGTGGTATAGGAGATACAGCATCACCATTGTGTGCCTCATCGCATTGCAGATTACTTGATCAAACCTGTGCAGCGAATAACTAAGTACCAGCTTCTGTTGAAAGATCTGCTTTCATGTTGTGAAGAAGGGCAGGGAGAAATAAAGGTTTTTGGTGTTTTGGTTTAACGGTTTGATAGAGAGTAAAAATGGTTTTTCAGAACTTGACAGAAAAATATAAATGTTCTTTAGATTTAAAGCTGGTTCATAGAAGTAGTAATTGAAGTTTAGGTATGTAGTAGGGAAATTTAGGAGATACAGGAAGAAAATGTGTAGATAAGTTTTGGTGTTTGGGTTTAAAGATTAACACACAAAGTTCAGGTAAATATTTAGTGGTGAAAATGTTTGGCATTATGTTTAAAGTTTTACACAAAGAAATAAAAGTTTGTTTAGATTTAATGTAAGCAAAAAATTAAGATAGCTCTATTTTAACCCTTTAAAGCCCTGGGTTCAGTATTATACCACCTTGAGCTTGCATTAATAACAATCATAAATATCATCAAATCTAAATATAGGCATTTCAATCACATGATGTGTGATTCTGATATGACTAAGAGTTTTCTGATTGTTGTCTTGAGGAGAGAAAAGTGGTATAGATGGGTAGATCTAAAATATGAATGGAAGAGTTTTCTGATAGTTGCCGTGAAGAAATACAAGTGTAGATGTGTAGATCTAAAATATGAATGGAAGAGTTTTCTGATAGTTGCCTTGAAGAAATAAAAGTGTAGATGTGTAGATCTAAAATATGAATGGAAGAGTTTTCTGATAGTTGCCTTGAAGAAATAAAAGTGTAGGTGTGTGGATCTAAAATATGAATGGAAGAGTTTTCTGCTAGCTGGCTTGAAGTGAGAAAGCCATTGTACAGATGTGTACAGCAATGTGTGGATCTTAAAGTAGTCATAAGAATGATGTTTGAAGGACAGGTATGTGTCTGAGATATTAGGCATTGGGAAATTCAGGTTGTTGGAGAGGCTAAGAGAATTTAAAGAAAGTTTTTTGAATGAAGGATAAGACAGACTTAGAGTACCATCTTCAGGTGTAAGTTCTTTTTCCATTTTGCTTGTAGTTTTTTTACTATTTGGTCTAAATGTTTTGACATACTTTTTTTTCAGGATGGGTTAGAAGTGATGTTGAATGTGCCAAAAAAAGCCAATGATGCAATGCATCTTAGCATGCTTGATGGGTGTGATGTAAGTATGATGAAGCTCCTGAAACTTATAAAATTGATATCAAGTCTAAATATCATTACATAATTTTGAATACCTGAATATAAAAGTCATATTTTGTACTATGATAAGTTTATTCTTTTTTTGTGAGCATATTCCTTTGTTACAAAACTGGTAATTATTTTCTTAAACAGTTAAGTTATTTTTCACTTTTAAAACTTGTGTGACCAAAGAAAAAGCAAAACAAAAACATTTTTCTGTTAATATAAAGTTATTATGAGTGTAATTTTTGTTTTGTATACTTGTACAATTATTTCTTGAGCTCAAAACATTTTTTTTTCTATATCTATTAAAATGTCTGTAGATAGAATATGTACTCTTTTTCAGCCTTGTTGCATTATTTTGGCCACTTCTGCATTTGCTTCCATAAAAATTAATAACTCATAAATGAAACTATATGAATCATTGAAAGTTTTTGAGCCTAAATTACATTTTTAAGTGAAATGTACCATTTTTAAAGAAATATAATCACTGCATGACAACTGTATATTATTTCATTACAAAACATGACTATAACTCTTGATCTGAAAGACACATTTTATACATGCTTATTAGTGATAATACAATGTTGTTAAAGCTAATATAAATAGACACTGTTTGTAAAAGTTACCCCTGTAATCGTTTTAGAAATTATATACAGCTGTTTCAAAAAGATTCTTTCCTCCACTAACCTGTAAGCTCATGCTGTGGCAAAGTCCAATATAACGTTCCATATTTTCAACTCACCAGTTGAGTGTGTTTTGTATAGTGAATAAGAACAGCCAAAGTATTTGATACTTCAATGTAATAACTAAACAAGTAAGGGAGCCACTGGAATTAAGTTTACATTTACATTGCATGAAAAATACAAAACCATGTAATTAGATTATCTGAAAGCAGGGAGAAACTTTGATATTTTTGCTTAATTATTATTACTTTTTCCAAAACAAATGTTGATCGCTAACTATAAAGGGCTTATTCCCTTTGTCATGCTGTCAAAAACATTTTTGTGTTCCTGTTTTGGTAATGCTCAACATTATACATTGTTGCTTAGCAACAGAATTATTACCTGTATTAATGTTATAGAGTGAGTATTTGAAAAGTTTTAAGTGGTGAATAAATGTTAATTAATAAATATAATTTTGGTATTTTAACACACACATTATCTACTTGGCCTTAAAACATAAAGAAAAATAAACGTTTATTACTACCAAATATGTTATATCCTTTGTACAGTCAAAAGACTTGAAAATTTGTGTCCAAATGTCTGCACTATGTTTTCTACTTCCTGACCTAGAATACAGTGAAAAGGCTCAATAGTGCTATTTAAATCCCTTTCAGAGTATGCACATACCTTTTGTTCATGATAACATTTCATTTTTTTTGCGTAGTTTTTACTAAAAATGTGGTGATTAAAGAATTATTTCGAGACTGATGAAATAAGTGAAGAGTAGGTGAATTTTGGAGGTACAAACAAATTCGTTTTAGTTAAATTCTGTAATTTTTTGTTAATTATTCAACAATGATTTCCTGTCATTTTTAATGGGCTTTTATGCTAATGAATTATATATCAAAACAAAATTTTAAATCTGAACATTTAATCCATACTTTGATTTTGGATATTTCTTTGAGGGGTGAGATCAGACCAACATTTTTGAAACTGTAATGAATTCATTTACCTTGTAAAAAAACACAAGACACCAGATTAGAAGTGGGCTAAGATTTGAAATATAGGTAAACTGTTGTTTTTCAGATTTCATTCACTTGTTGATAAGAGTTGTTTGAAAAGAGTACATTTTGACAGGTTTTTTTTTATTGATTCAATTGATAAGTTTGTGTTTTAAGTTGAGTTCAAAGAGCTGTTTCTATAGATTTTATAGGCGAATTTGAAAAGATTATTTTGAAGTTAGGTTTTTAGAATCATGTTTCTACACATTGTTTTTTTTTTATTGTTTTACTGAATGTTATTAAAACTAGTCAAAGAACCATGGTGTTTATGTATTTTTAATGGTTCACTTGATCATGTTGTTTTGAGGATTAGACATGGAGAACCTTGTTTCTTGCTGTTTTTCTTAGCTCAGCTGAAGGTGTTGTTTGATATCAGAATGATGTTTTTTTACAGGTTTCTTTGGATCAGTTGGGTGAGGTGGTTCTCCAGGACACTTTCCAGGTGTTTGAGGCCAAGTCTTTGATTCGGAAAGGACGAGAACGTCACATCTTTCTTTTTGAACTTTATCTGTTATTCAGTAAAGAAGTCAAGGATTCAAATGGCAAGGCCAAATACTTGTACAAACAGAAACTATTGGTAGGGATTCTGTTGCTATTTTTTTAAAATTTGAATTAGGATTGTGTTATTTAATCAAATATTGCAGAGTATAAAAAAATTTTAATATTTTATATTACATACTCTGGTTGTTTCTTTATTCTTTAAGAGTAAAAATAAGTTAAGTCTTAGGATAATTGTTTTATTTGATTTTGAGGTTGGTTAGGAAGTAAAACACTTACCCTTGTTGTCGTAATCAAAGGCTTTATCAGGATTTTGTTTTAAATATGACTAATCCAAGTTTGTTCAAGTTTCCTACATATTTTTGATGGGTCTATAAGGAGACTTAAATTCTTATGAACCCCACTGAGAAATAGATTAGAACTAATGTAATTAGTCTACCATGAACTTGGTTTTAGTTTTAAGTAAACATTTTTGGTAATTTATTCATCCAAAATAAATTCTCAGTATGAAGATAATTAAAATGAATAAAAGTGTGATAAATATAATCTAAAGTTTTTTGTTTCAATCATTTGGTTTATGCATATTTCCTAATATGTTTTTGTTTTATTTTTCACATTTTAACCACATGTATTTTAAATTTTTTAGACATCTGAAATAGGAATCACAGAACATGTGGAAGGAGATGAGTGCAAGTTTGCTGTTTGGACTGGTCGAGCTCCTCTTGCTGAGTACAAGATTGTATTAAAGGTAAGGGCTTTGCATAACTATATGAGACACTAGTTTGAGCTTTGTTATATGAAAGCATTATCTACATAATCTCTAATAAACATGTGCAAATGATAACCGTTAAAAATATATTCAAGCTAATTATTAAATTACATTCAGTTAAGTGATAAAAATCTGCTTTTTGGTAAGTCACTACTGCTACTAGTCTTCATTAAGGATAGGTACAGTTTATTATTGAGAACTGATGCTACTTATTTTTGAGAATTCAGTAGTTATATAAAAATTCTTATTAGAGGGACTGATACATACTAACAAATGACAACTGAGTGGTACTTTACTTTAAATAAAATTTAAAAACTGTCACCTGGAAATATTAAACAATGATTTACATCTCTTATGAAAAATAGTGAACAGTTGGTACTTAGCAAGAATTAAGGATTATTATTCTTGATTAATGAGAATTGAGGATTGATATGGCTGTTAACATGGATCTTAAAATTAGTAATGTCCATAATGATTAAATAGTTATGGGAAATGGACTTCAATACTGTCTATAAATAAATCCAGAGAGAGGTCCTAATGACTTTAGTTGGTTTTGTTTTGGAAAAGCCAAATTACATTCTAATTTAAATGTCACAGTAGCAAAGCATATGCTGTGAATTTTTTTTTAATAATATATAAATAATTTTTCTTTGTTAATCCTTATGAAGGCAGCATCCTTGGATACCAAACAAACTTGGGTGAAAAAACTGCGAGAAGTGATTCAAGAAACCTATTTCAGTAGTGCTCTTACAACTCTGAACCTTCCAAAGTCTCCTGTCAAAGTGACACCAAAGTCTAATAGATCCAGCAGGTTTGTACATTTAAATTAACTTTACTAAATCTTCTGTCATACAGACATTAAATTTTACTAACTTTGCCAGTTTAGTATGTCTTTTGTATTGTTTTCTGTATTTACTTTTGATGACTATGCAAATTCTTTAAGTTAAAAGTTTTTTTTTTAATACAATAGAGATCTTGGCGATTCATCTATGGATGAAGGAAGTACTGATCAACAGGAGGAGCGAGGGTCTGTGGCTTCTTTTGGATCAAGCAACACAACTGACAGTGAGAAGGTAAGAAATATTTTGGAATGGAGTGAATTATATTTAGCTGTTAACATCAAAGTACTTTTTTGAACTGAACCTGACAAGTAAGTTGCAAAATACTTGAACATATACAGTTTGTTCAAGTTATCATGTAATTAGGTCAGTTGAACATGATATATGTTCAGTTTTAAATAAATTTAATGAATTATTGGTATTTCATTCTGATAGACTTTTATCTCTCTCAAGATTTTTTTAGGTGAAGAACCAAACCAATTAATTTTTTTTTCTTTTTTTTTGTACAAGTAGAAAATTATGAGGGAATCTGTACAGTTGTTAGATTTTGGAGAATTTGCTGAGAAGTGGGAATGAAATAAATTTTTCAGTTTTCAGCCACACAGAACAATTTCATAAAATTTGTTGTTTAAACCATTGGCTATATACTTTGTAAAATATATTTAAAGAATAGGAGGATATGCAAATAATTTATTGTGAAAGAGATGTTTTCAAGACTTTTTTTTTTTATAAGTCAGTTACATGATATGTTTCATACAGAAAAATTATGAATTGTAAAGACAAGTAACTGTAAAAAGTAGGTAAATTGCAGTCTCATTCAGTTACAATACAAGGTTGTATATTTTATGAAGGAGAAGAGTGCAGATGACTTATTTCCTCTCTCAGTTACATAGTGCTGTCACATAGGTATGTTTTGTTCCGTTATAATGTTATTACTAAGATCTAAATAATATGTTGTTTCATTAAATGTAAATGAAAGAGAACTGTGAGCTATGTGGAGATCACACTAAAAACTAACTCCAAATGGCTGCATAAATCCTACACCTGAAACTTCTGCTGAGACCAATTTGTTATATATGAAAGTGAACTATAAGGATATGTGAAGTATTATATGAATACCACAGAAAGAACAAGCTTTACAAGACTCCATAAGTTTAACAGAGTTCAGACCAATTCTTATAAAGAACAAATATGAAGAAGTTCAAGTGTATATACAAAGTGAATTAGTCAATACCAGGGTATTGTTAATTCAAAAATATAACTTGTTCACCATTCAAAATGTCGTACCTGTGGTAAAACTACTAGTCTCGTACTGTATGTGTTTGCTGATTCAATAGTTATGACACATTGTTTCTGCCATATTTAACAGTTAGACTTGATAGTTCTTTCACAGGTAGTTTTTTTTCAAATAATAAAATGTGAACTATTTGGATAAATTTAAAGACTGGATTGAAATTTGTAAGATACTGTAAACCTACTGGGATAAAACACAAAATCAGACAGAAATTAACCATTAGAAAAGAAAAAAAACTTTTATGAAATGCTAAATCAGTTTGTAGTAATGATTTTTTCTTAATTCAGTGAATTAAGAATTGCTTTGTAAAGTTAAATTTTAAATATTGTGTTTTAAATTTTCTCAGCTCCACTAAACATCCTATTTGCTAAAGTTTTGTGTATTTCTAGATTTATATCTGAAGCATTGGCAAATATAAAATTGATGTCAATTAAAAACTCAACAGGTTGAAGTGGGTTGAATTAGAGTTATTTATTTAAAGGAATAAGTATTGTGAGTTTTTAATTAAATTTATTTACATAAGAGGGATTTCTTTCCAAAAGTAAAGCTAGTGCTATTGTGCTACACTGGGGGACTTTTTTATGTACCAGTAAAACAGTTTATGAACCTATAACTCTAGAATTACCAGTGGCATGTGTATGGAAACTATAAACTTTTTGAACAAATTTTACACAGAAAATGAGATTTCACCTAATTTTAGTCTGTTCTTTATAATGAAAGTTTTTACTGTAAAAAACAAAATTACATAGTATGATGCAGTATATAGGCCCTCCCAATAGTGAACCCATAAAAACTAATTTGATGGTTAACACTTCCTCTGGTTAATTGTTTGTTTGATTCTCTGAAAGTGTATCAGACAATGCCAGATTATTACTAGCTGTTTTCAACACAAAAACACTTTAATTATTGGTGGTAGTAAAATATTCTTTATGAAAAATAATAAAAAATGCCGTTTTTGTACTTTTAGTGTAAACTTTACTGCATATATGTAAATATGGTGTTACAATTATATGTACTGGTAGTGTACCAATAAGTAATGTTAATGTTGTCTATATTACTAACTTAGCAGTAAATCAGATTTTGTAAACGTTGACAAAAATGTAACCAAACTATGGGAAATGTGTATTAGAACTGGTTATGGCACTAACGTGTTTGGTAAACGAGTGCAAAAGTCATACCCTAAGATTGATTAGGCTAGATCGTTTGTTAATATACATTTAGTACTAATGTGGCGATGGTTCTGCTGTAGTAAAAATGTGTTATTCTTAGAAACAATCGTGTTTCTATAGTTTGTATAAACTTGGTAAAACAGCGTTTGTATTGGATGTTAAAACTGTGTTTAGCATTAAAGTGTTTTAATCGTTTGTTTAAAAATCATAAGTGTGCAACTTGGCATGATCTGAATTCAAACTAACAATAGCACCAAGTAATGATAAACGAGTATCGTAACTGCTGTATTCAGTGCGTATAACAAGATTCTGATGTGTACCTTATATTCATTAAAGTTTTACACTTATCCGAGGTAGTATCTCTTATGTCCCTGCCTTCGTCACAAATCCGGAGAAAATTATTTGCGTCTTTAAATGTATATCTCAGTTTGTGTTTTAAATTGTATGGCGCTAGCTACAAATGGTTCTGAACATATTGCGTGTATTACATAAGCATAACTGTAAATTTGTTTTCATAAATACCATGTTAGTCACTTTCGTTTATACACAAACTTTTCTGCTTTTTCATATCGTGTATTTAAGGGGTAATGATAACAATATTTACACTATAATTATGATGTGTTTTAATTGTTTATGTAAAATATAGAATAAACAAATCAACTTTTAAGTACTTCTACAACCTTTGCAGTACATTATTTAGTATTCTAAAAAGGTTTGGGTGCAATATATCAAGCCGTTTTTGTTGTAGGCTGGCAAGAGAATAAAAATAATAATAAATAGAATTACAAACGGGTCAATTTGAGCAGATTTTCTTTCTCTTGTTAAGTCTAATATGCATGATTCTTTTTGTATTTTTATATAGGTACAGCCTTTAGCAGTCAATATTAAAGGTTTTAAAGTGTTGTTTGAACTGAATTACTGTTTAAGATGCTTTTTGCCCGGACGTTCTATTACGGTTTATCCAATTTCTTGCGATCACTATTATAAACCACTAATCTTGATAATTCCACAATCATTGCAACTGCTGAGTTATCTAAAGTTTAGCATTCAAAACTTGTAAAATCGCAGTAAAAGAAGCAACAAAAATGCCTGGTGTGATGAGAATCAAATTTGCAAAGGATAGTCGAAGTAAAAATATCATTTTATCAACAATTATAGCTTTTAAAATCAGGAAGAATATTTTTAAAACAGGTACTAGGTTTTGATCACTGGTACGATCATTCCCAAGTAAACGGGAATGATTGCGCCAGTGATCGAAACATTGTTTCTTTTCTGAAAATATTCTTCTTTACTGTAAAAGCTGTAACTTGAAATAAATAATACTTATTATAATCAGTAAGTAAACTGATGTGAAAGAATATTTACCACATATATACGTCACTTCATAACAATATGAAGTTTAATAATAACGTTTAACAATGTTAAATGAGAAACCTACTGAAGTGAATAATTAATTCAAAATACAATAATAGTAGTTTTACAATAAAAATTGTTATGGTGTTAATGCCTTTTAGAAGCCGACAAAGCATGATATAATTAATTATATTTGACATAAGACATTGTTAGACCTATTATGTTATATAGTGTTCACACCGTAACTGCTGTTGTAATAATAAATGACCTTTATGAATAGTATTCCGACGAGTACTGTGTTCGTTATATCTCAGCCGGCCTGAAGAACTCTTGATTGAGCGAAACGCGCCGTCAGCAGTGGGTTTGGCAAATATAGTGTGGTTGAAATTATATTATTATAAACTCTTCTAATTCTTGAAAAATTTTAATACCTAGATAAGCAATAAAGTATTAAAAACATAATAGGCCTAACAATGTCTTATGATAAATATAATTAATTATATCATGCTGCGCCAGCTTCTAATAAGTGATCACGCCATAACTATTTTTTTTGTAAAAAATGGTCTACATAAATAGTATTCCGACCACTACTGTGTTCATTATATCTCAGTTGGCCTGATGAGCTCTGGATTGAGCGAAAAGCGTGTAGTTGAAATACTATTATCACACACTCTTCTAATCTTTGAAAATTTGTAAGGGACTAGATTAAGAATATAGTGTTAAAGATAATAGGCCTAACAATGTCTTATGATAAATATAATTAATTTTTACACTAAGCAAGTTCTTAATTTAATAATTACAGCGTTTAGACTCATGGTATCAGTCATAATCAGGTAAGAGTTACGTTCAAAAAGTCAGTTGAATTTGAAAGAATATTACAGACTCGTGATGCTGAGAACAAATTTGTAGATGGCGTTAAATTAGCTTTTTTAGACAAAATGTGGGGATAAACCCATGAACCACAATAGGGATCGCACAGATTTATTGATTAATGAAACAATTATTATTAATACGATTGTTTCACAAGCGTGCAGCAAACTGCTGGATATTTTGCACAAAAACCTAGACATATATATATACCATATGAAATGCTGCGAATGTCCATGACCTAGTAAAAAGTTATTTTCCCTTGAAAGTTGACTTACGTGGTTATAAATACGTAATAGATTCAATGTTGTTATGCCCATATGCCTTTGAACTCTACGCATGTTCAAAACGTGTTTACACACGAAACCTCAGGCACACAGCCATTTGGCTCACTAAATAATTACTTTAAAGACACGAAGCTTTATTTAAAGCGATATTTAGACGTATTTGCTTCATTTGAAAAGGCTGCTTTTCTACTGATAAAATTTTATATGCACTTAGTGGGGGTTGTGTCTTACTATAGGCATATACTTGCCTATTGTTGTACATTA